GTGTTGTCGATTCACACCACACACGTGCAGTCGGAATGACGCAACGCTTATGATACCGGAGATATGGAAAGTGGCAATAAACAACAAAGGGAAGTTGGAGAGACAGAAGGAAAGAAAATATGCATAAGACAAATTGTGAAACCGTGTGACTAAATTGATATGATTATGAGTATCAATAATTTATGCTCGAAATCTTGTCATCTAGTTGTTAATACTGCATCGCTGTGTAATATTTAAAATAAACGTATCTTATACAGAATTACATTCTACCACAGTGCCCAAGTTCTAAATAAATAAGTGGGGAGAAAAAGCTGCTGTTTGTGGTAATGAATAATGCTTGCTTTAGCCTATAGGGGGCGAGAAGACAACAATACGTTGAACGGATACGAAGACTCTAAAAGATCTGGATTCGGCGTGAGGATGATTTATGTCCATTTAACTGCCAAATGGTTAGTTCATCTGTTAGAACCGCTACATCGCCAATTGGTTAAATATAGTGTAAAAGATGTCTTTGACTTCGTTGAAAACATTAAAGATATGAACTTAACAGACAAAACTATGTTATCGCTGGACGTAACATCACTATTTACCAACGTCCCCCTTGTAGAAACTGTCGACTACATATGCGAGCAACTCGTAGAAAAGAAAATAGAAATCGGAATCACACCAAGAAAATTGAAAGAATTACTACTAAAATGTACTATGAACGTTCAATTTGTATTTAATATGGAGTATTACCGCCAAATAGATGGGGTTGCTATGGGTTCTCCCCTTGGCTCCTTATTAGCTGACATATTCCTATCCAAATTGGAAAATGGTCCTTTAAAAGAGATACTAAACAAACTTGATTATTATTGCCGATATGTTGACGATACCTTTATCATTTGTAACAATAATCAAGATAGACAACACCTGCTCAAAGCCTTCAATAAGGTACACCCAGCTATTAAATTCACTTGTGAAGAGGAACTCCAAGGTAGTATTCCGTTTCTGGACGTTCTTCTTACAAAGAGAGCAGACGGTACCTTAAAGCGCAACATCTATAGGAAAGCTACCTGGAATGGACAATATACCCACTTCCATAGCTTCATACCTATACAATATAAGCGCAACCTAATTCGTTGTCTTAGTCATAGAATTAGGCGCATATGTACCGACGACTGCATTGAAGATGAAATAAAAAATCTCACAAACGCCTTGCTACAGAACGACTATCCTACCAACTTCGTAAAGAAGTATATCAATGAAACTACACACAAAACTAAACGAGACACAGTAAGTAAGAAAAAACTTTACTTAAATTTACAATTCAAAGGCGATATATCCAGCGACATATTAAACCGTAGATTAACGAGAGCTGTTGAAAGAACTTTCAGTGCCGCAAAACTACATATCACTTTCTCAACCAAACCGATATTGACACCGTGCATTAAAGATAGATTACCCAAAATGACGACATCAATGTGTGTATATAAATTCAACTGCTCCTGTGGAGCTAGTTATATAGGTCGTACCCAAAGGAATTTATCTTTACGCACCCGTGAACATATCCCGGTCTGGCTCGGGAAAAGAGTGACCAAATCATTAAATAGTGCAATCCTGGCTCATCTAGTGGATAGCGAACACAGCATCAAAGTAGAAGAGTCACTTACAGTTGTGTATCGAGTACCAAACAACCTCCCCAAAGGCACACGATTACGCCTCCTAGCCATAGCTGAGGCTTTAGAGATTAATAGAGAAAGACCAGACTTATGTGTACAGAAAAAACTTATCCACTCCCTCTGTCTACCCTGGCCCACTATAAGGTCACCAGGATCATAATTTTCCGTATTACTTTTACCATTATTATCATTCTGTGATATCACGTCTTTATTATCCATTTCTTCACCCAGTTTATTTCACCTCATTGTTACCCTTAATTTTGTCAACCTTTGTGATTTTACACTAAGCCTACCAACTCTGTAACATCTTATTACAATTTACTATTCAGCCTCTTTATTTTATCATTAGACATTATCGGTCAGCCCTCACATTCAGTGTCCCCATTGTTAATGTGTGTTTGTGTGCATTTTGTGTCTATCGCATTTCTCTCACCCCAATGACACTTGTATTCTGATGACTATAAAACAACATTATATCACCCAATTGTTCATTCACACTTCATCACATTTTCTGACTATACACCCTATACACATTTGATTGACTATGTTAACTAATGGACTATCACCTCAACTTACACATGCACCCCAATACAGTTTCTGATATTATTTTTATTTGCCTTTATTGGCTGTATGTACTCTATTATTCATGGATTTATAACTGTAGAGCCTGAAGAAGAAGTTATCGAAAACAATTGTTCGCTCAAAATCTTGTTTTGATTTATGTCTGACGTCAAATAAACCAGAAGACTTACAGGCAGGCGAAGACCAAAAAACTGGCAGAAGAAGCTGGTAGCGAAGACATGACTCCAGATGAGCCTAGAGAAGACGGAGGGGATGAAGATAACCAGTCAAGCAGAACAATAAACACCAGTCATTACCAGCAGGAGAAATTTGGAAGTGGTTATTTCCTTCACCAATCTAGAGGGCATCGTCTCAACTCCAGTTGCGCAACACAGATAAAGATGCCAAGTCAGAATGAGAAAGACAATACAGATGTTTATTACTCTGATGTTAAGGTAGTGAGTATTTCTATACGTGTCAAAAATTTGACGAACGAGTAAGGAAAAACTTGTCCAACAGCTAGCTGCAAACTTTCATCGGCCGTTGCCTTGGCTGGCTAGAAAGAACTAACAGCAACAAGCTCTAGGAACGAACCAATCGAGAATCTTTTAACCAGAGAATATTTTGAAGGAAATATACATGAATAAGACACACGCTGAGAAGACAGCTGAGTAACACCGCACGCCAGCTAGGGCGTAGAGATTGAAACCTAATGAGAAACGACAAGTTGGGTGTGTTCCCGAGGATGACAAGTGGAGGTCGTGCAAGGAGAAGATGAGAGCCTTTGGGCAACCACGGAACCAGCTGAATAGCACCCTAGAGAACAGGATGAAGCGTGGATATAGCTGATCAATTGCATAATTAAACCCAAGTACAAGTGACCCATCAGTTTTACTTATTTATTCAACTAGAGGAGAAAGAAGTTTCTTTAAAGAGGGGAGAAACTAAAAATGAAACAATCGTGAAATGAAAGTATGAATTACGTCTAGGAAATTATGACCAACAGGTGTAAAACAATAATAATAATAGTAATGAAGTCTGGTACAGCAGTGAAAACAGTTCAGTCTTAACATACTAAAAGTGGAATACTTAACAACAGCTGAATATTTTAATTATTCAAGTTTTCCCAAATTTCTGTTTATCATACAACGGATGTTTAAATATAAAGAAGGAAGGATTTGGCTATCATGTCTAGTTGAGGCGGGTGGATGTGGGTGAAAAGCGGGGGTAGTAATGACGTCACTGAACCCATTAATGGAATACTTCAGCCTTAAAGTTTTTTAAACAAATGCCAACCTCACCTTCACTATCAAGTTAATAAAAAAAATCCAACATTTGCTTCGAAAATTCTTATTTTTTTCAGACATTTAAACCCTTTCGTTGTTAAGCAACCATCAATATTTTGTCCGGTAACTATGTTCTGCTTTCTTAATCAGTATTTTGCCGCTTTCTTTATATTTAAAGGAGTATTTCTGATTAATTGGTTGTACGTTTAATTAAAAATTGTTATCCTTTAAGGCTCATCTAAGCTAATAGTATGTCAAAATCTTTCCAGTAAAGCACTTGTCGCTTAGCTTTTATTGTTTGGTCTTCGAATTATTGATAATTGATAAGGTCAAGTTAAAGAGGGAGTTTGAACGTGTCAGTGACCCTGAACGCGTGCCATTCGTTGGATAATGGGACCTATCATTACTATAGCGCCACTATGAATTCTATGCACTAGGTGAGGTAAAAATTTCATCCCCATCTGGTTTTTAAGTACTGTGCAGATAATTGGTTGATAGCATGTAAGCGAAGATTTTTTATAGACAACTAAAAAACAGTAATGGACAACATCCCGAATGGCGACATCAAAATCCTAATGGCCAACCACTATCAACGGGAGAGAGACAGAGGTTACTTCTTTAACTTGTCTAGGAAGCACGATTTCAAATAAAGGCAGAAGATATCAAAGCCAGAATCAGAAAGGTGAGATATGCCTTTATCAACCTGAAACCAGTTTGGAGTTCTTCTGCACTGTCTTAGCCAGCATAAACAACAAGATTCGGATTTACGACACAAATAGGAAGTCAGTCAGTCGCTTCTTCTATACGAGTCAGAAGCTTCCTTTGCTGGCTCTATAGTGATGATAAAATGGCCGGTCAGAAGGAAATAGCAACAGAAATCTTTGGCCGGGAACAAACTAACAGGCGAGAGTCGATCGCTCAACAAATGTGTAGGAGAAAATGGAGATGGATTGATTGAGCATACGTTGAGGAGGCCGTCAAATGACATCAAGCGGAATGCAGGCCATCGTTTGAATGGAAGATAAATGGGAAGAGACAAGTGCGTCGTCCTCGAGTGATATGGAGGAGATCGTGTCAGGAAGATACAAGAGATTACGGGCAGTCGTGTAGCTAGCCAGATGAAGAGAACAGAAGAGAATAGACCAAAGTGGATATGTATCGTTGAAGCCCACTGTTTCACTTGAAACCCAAGGGAATAATAATACGTTAGGATTAGGGTTATCTGTACTATTCTGGTAAATATCTTAAAGGTATTCATAATTATCATTTGTATTTTCCAAGCAAATAAACTCCGTTTTTATGTAAGATACACTGGTTTTTCTGATTGGTCACCATAAGTTCACTTGTGAGTTCGTATTCTGTGTGGATTGTTATTCTTTAACTTTGCCATTGATACTTACACTAGATGTATAAAACCATTCAAATATTCTCGTTTACTTTACACGTACCCATAAAACAAGTTTATTAACTGAATTTCACTTTCATAACTCACCTTTTCACCCATTAGTCCTTGTCTGGATCCTCCAGTGTATCCTTTGGGACCTTTAATTCCTGGTTCCCCTGGTAATCCTACTACACCTGGTTCTCCATTGTCACCCGGTTCACCATATTCTCCCTGAAAAGTAAACATTTATTAGGCATTTTATAGAGGTGCTCTGTAGAAGACAACTACTTCAAAAAATATACAGTAAATTGCACATACGTTTATTATTCTTGGTGGGAAAGCTAACAAGAATGAAATATTAATAAAGTTTAATGATGCACAAGCATCGCTCATCTTCACTTGTGAAGAAGAACATGATGGTAGACTACACTTCTTTGATGTCCAATTGAGAGATATCTGTAGAAAACCTATGTCTGTAGGATAATATACACATTTCTTCAGTTTTGTATCAATCCGATACTAAATCATTTTGGTTAGATGCCTCAAGAATAGAGCAAGATGGATCTGCACAGATGACTATCTAGAAAACGAATCAGGATCCAACCCAAATACGCTGGTCCAAATGGATTATTCTAGTAGATTTGTAAGGAGACATATGAACACTAGGTAAAGTAAAGAGAAACTGACAAAAATTGAAAACAAAACAGCTGTTCGTAAAATTGCAATTTATTGGGACGTGGCTAGTGAAGTCTTACATCTGAGATTATCGAGAGCAATAAAACGGATGTATACTGCCGCCACCCTTTCTTTGTCGTTCCCAACCGACCAATTACGATTGCTGAAGCGAAAGACAAGCTACCTAGTAGTACCACTTCTATGTGTATCTAAAAATTTAACTGCTCCTTCCGAGAAAGCTGGCTATATAGGGCGAACAACTAGACAGCTGAACCAACGCATTAATGAGCATCTTCCTTCATGGTTCGGTAAAGGTCAAATAAAATCTATAAGGAGTTCTATTTTGTCTCATTTGATTGATAGTGGTCACTAAGTGGACAGAAGTGGTACCTTCATTCATTCCATCAGGCCTTTCAGACGGAATCCCAACACGCCTTTTACACATAGCCGAAGCTATGGGAGTTCGAGAGATTAACCCTAGGCTTTGCATACAGCAAAAGAAGTTTGTTCTACCTTTGTTCCTCCCTTGGTCTAGGTAAAGTCTAGCCGAAACCCTCCCACCCTTTCTTATTTTCTATTTCCTTCGTACTTTTGTTATTTATTTAAACTCTGATTATCTGTCCACTTCACCTTTAGTATTACGTAACTTTCAGGATTTGACCTAATTTATTTATTGAATTATCTACATATACACATATTACTACCTTTGTTATTCTTATCACCAGGTGGATAAACCTTATTACCATTATTTTGTTATCACTATAATCATCGTTATTACGAACGTTCAGAACATTTAAAGCTTATTATTATTATTTGATCGACAAATCGCAGTAAGGCCTGAAGAAGATCTAATTGAATACAACAATATTATTCGCTTATATGTCTTGTTCTCATACTGATAATAATAATAATAATGGGAACATTTAAAGATTTTCAACAAAAGAAGCATCAGATTAACCAAAATGTTGTGTACGAAATTAAATATCCTTACCGCTTCACCATCACATCCATTATCGCCTTTTTCACCTTTAATTCCTCGTGTACCAGGATGACCCTTTTTTATTGAAAAAACAATTTGTTATACCGAATTAACTTGACACTTACTATATCCCCATTTTCACCAGCATACCCCGGTTCACCAGGTAAACCCTGATCGAAATTTAGAAAAGGAAAAAAAGAGAGCAGTAAAATATGAGTACATTAAAGTTAGTCAGTTTAGTTAGTGAATGCATGTAACATATTTCACGAATTATCCTGATTTTGAGCTGAGTAGCAGTGAATTGTTAAGCTCTATTTCATCATAAAATGGTATTAGTCGTGCGAAAATATCAAGTAACCGCTTTATTCAACAGCAAAGTTAAACTTTAAGCACCACTAACTACCAGTCAACGAATGACCTCGAACGCACCAACCACATGAAGGAGGCATTTTTCTGTATGGAATACATATATATTTATGAAAGAAAAAAACGCATAAAAACTGCAGAAAAGTGTTACAGAGGATACCTTCCTCTCACATGTGTTAAAAGTAGCTCTCAGTTTTAGGTTGGAGTATCAACAGAGTATAAATTCCATTGTGGGTAAACTTTATTTTGATAAAGTCTCATAGTGTAATACAGTAATATTTACTGAGCAATAAATTGTGCTCGAAACGTGGTCATCAGTAAATATTACTGTATAACAAACATTGTGGCGCTTTATCAAAATGAATTTTACTCACAATGGAATTATATCAGCAGAGTAATTTAACCACATTCTATGTATGTAATTATTTAAGTCTTCTAACCCTAACAAAAACCCTAACCTTTCCTAAACCTAGCCCTAACGTGAACATATGCCTGAACTAACCCTAATCTAACTTGAACTAACGCTAATGTAGCCTTTAATAGGTTAACCTAACCCTAACTTGTCACTGGCCTAAGCCTTAACTTAATCTTTCCCAAACCTAAGCTGAGACTTGCTAGAAATTCCATCTCATGAGCATATTTTATTGGTGATGACAACATTATTTATTGGCCAGGTTTCACTAACTTGCTCAGGGAGCGTTTCAAGGTCACTGGTGCGGTAGCACTCCATTGGTAGTTAGTTAGTGGTGCTTAAAGTTTAACTTGGCCCTTGACACTCCTGAATTGTAGACGTCTATAAAACCTTTGGGCGTGGAAAGTGAAATGCCAGTGGTTTGTAAGTGTTACTAAGTCAGCTTCATTAGATGACATTTTTAACTTAAATCACTTATATTGATGAAATGTGGTCTTTTATTTTAGTTATTATTAATATTACTACAGAATACTACATCGCGTCAGTGGTTCACTGGCAGAATACTCGCCAATCACGCCTCACGTGGTTTGTGGTTCAATTTCCGGCCTGATGAGGCACTCTTAAACTCTACTTAACCGGTAGTAAGATCAGTAAAGAGGGATGGTTAGGTATGCGGTTAGCAACTCCACTCTGTAGAAGAACAGTGTCACTACTGAAACATCAAGGCATAAAGCTTGAAGCCTTATGTTCCACTGAAGACTTAAAGGAATAAAATATTAATAATAATAATAATACACGTGACTTTAGACAAACTGCTAATCAGAAATAATACGAGATGACTTCAGTTCATCTATGCTTTACAATATAAATAGTTAGTATAACGTATATATAAAGCATAATAAAATTATTTGATAAAGTTAACAGATATTGACAAACCTTTTCACCTTGTGGACCTGGCAGACCAGGAATTCCATTTTCACCTTTTTCACCTTGAGTACCAATAAGTCCTACTAGACCTTGATCACCCGGCGGTCCTTCAGAACCACGTACACCCATAGGACCAGGTTGTCCCTGTTTAGAAGATTGTTTTTTGCGAAGGAAAATATTATCTGTGAGTGGTTAGTCAGGTTATAATAAAAATGAAAATTATAACAAAATGGTTTGTCGTAGTTTACATAGCCTCTGCCAATCTGACATTCCTAAAGCAGTTGGAAACAATACGTATATACTAGCCAATTTTCACTAGCTGAATTCACATGAACGTCAAGACATGCACAACATATCTACACAGTACTTGAAATAAGTTAGTCATTACTATTCTACTCCGCATGTCTGAATCGATAACATCTAATAGTGGTAAGATTGTTTTTATATTTTTGATTACAGCTTGATTAGTAGGAGTATGGCATTTTCAGCATGTGATAACGGTAGACCATTGATATCAGGTGTGCGTCGGCAGAAGATCGAACTCCGGACCATGTGCATGGTCGGCGAGTGTCCTAACCACTGTGCCACCTGTTCACTGGGGTCTTGTATTCAGCAGTTCAACATGAAGCAGGCAATTATTATTATTATTGTTATTCCCTTGGGTTCCTAGTTGAACATAAGGCTTCAACGGAACATCTCCATCCCACCCTGTCCTCTACAATCCCCTCTTTAGCCGGCTTCACGATTCGTCATAGTCTCTCATCTCCTTCTTACACGACCTCCTAGAGAAGTCATACTTGGATGTACTCCCAACTCGTCGTTTCGCATTCATCTTTCACTCAAGGGCCTCTTGTGAGGCGTCGGCCGACAGTCTCCTCAATGTATGTCTGGTTCATCTCCACTTTCTTCGGAATATTTATTCAACGGTAGGTTCTTGGTTGGTTCATTCCCAGGTTTCTTCAGCCGGCCATCAGATATTCAGTATGGAGGCAGTAAAGGCAGCTGCTGATGAAAGTCACGAGTTGCCTTACGGCAATGCTTAGTGTGACGCTTTCGCCAAGCTTCCGAAACATATATAAGAACTCACTGACTTAACATTGGTGTTGAAAATCCAAATTTTGTCCTCTGTACTGAGTACAGTAGATTTCCAAACTGCCTTCCCAATTCTGGCTTTTTCATCCTCATCCATGCTGTCTGCCAGTAGTTGGTAACTGAAGGAAGTGACGTCTTTCAACTCTCTCCCATTTATAATGATTAGTGCTTGTTGTTAGTGGTGACTAGGTATCTTTATCACCTCCATCTTCTGTGTGTTCACTTGAGGTCCTGTATTTGCTGCTTCTTCTGAGAATCGTTTTGGTTTTCATCCATTACTAAATATAGTAGTGCATTCTACTGAACCTTAAAAAGTCAGTCTTTTTGCCTCAATTTTTTAAAGTTAAATTTCTTGTGAATAACATACTAATAAGCCTCTGAAATACCGAGAATCTGTAACTGTTTATTTAAGAAAAACTGTACAACTTTATGATAAAATTTATAGCTGTTTCTTTTTCTCACATTCGAGGCTATTGTTTAGTTTACTCAGCATTTGCTCATCATGACTAGAAAACCACCTGGAGCATGTTTCACCTTACATAATGGGCTAACAACAGATGCAAAGCTATAAAAAGACATAGATTTATATACAGTTCACCTGCAGGAAATAAATTAACTTAATGGCAGATAGCATTCCGCGAATATAAAAAGTTAACAGACCCCAGGCTACTTATCCTGTAGTTCCCTAAGTGTGGCATACTACCGCATAGCTTAGTTTGTTTTAATTTCACTTCGATTATAATTTATTCTTCTTTGTTATAAAGGCTAATTAGTTGTCAGTATGGACGTGTCACTATGTGTAACTGAATAATTATTTGGAGAGTCCTTCCTAAATGATCTAATTACTATACTTATACTTATTTGGATATTTCAACTAACTTTGGAATTGGTTGGAGGATTTCATCATGAGCTGACATCAGTTGGGGAACCATTGGAAAACCAGCTGGGAGTAGTGGATAGCTGTTTCGCCGTAGTTTGGGACTCCTCAATAGTATGCACCCACCACAGTGGGGTTCGAACCCAGGGCCTTCTGGTTACAAGGCGAGCTCGTACTGCTGAAGAGTCCCAAACTAGGACGAGGCAGATGTCCAGTACTCCAATGGTTCTCTAACTGATGTCAGCTCATGATGAAATCGTCCAACCAGTCAAAAACAAAATCCCCTCAAAACCAATACTTGAAAGTAACTTAGGAATTAATTTCTTCTTTTCTCCTAGACTGTATATCATTGTTCTGACAATCGCTTGTCATATGTTGACTTAATCCTTATTATTTGTGTCTTTCTTCCTGTATAATCTCTAATTTTGGTGCTTCTCTTTGTCGTTGTGTGATAGTGTTGATAATGTTTTGTTTTACGACTGAGATTTCGTTTGAGTGAATCAAGGTCTTTCTGACGTTCGACCGTGTGAGAGAACTGTTTGGTTGGTGATTCTTGCTGACAGAATTTTGATCCCACCTGAGGAAATTTTACTTTCTGATATGTTATTATTGTTGAATGGAACTGCATAGATTATACAGTGAGTAACTGTCCTTTATCCGTCTTCGGAGCGTTTTATTACTGTGAGTTTCTCAAGGAGAGAATAAAGGATGCACTGGATACAGAACTCCTCCACCCATCGGAACAAGCTGGCTGGATTCAGGAAAGGCAAATCATGTGCTCATCCAATTGCAACTCTAAGCAGAAAAAAAGCATAGAATGTCAGTCAAACCTCTCACTACCTGAACTTAATCGATTTTGAAAAGACCTTCGACAGACGGCGTTGAAAGAGAAGTAATTTGGAAACTACTTCAACACTACGGTGTGCAGTGTTTAAACACTTATCAACGTCATTCGACAGCTGCCTGTATGACAGTGCCACGTGTCAGATGATCCACAACGGATAACTCAGTGAGGTGTTCGAAGTGAATACAGGATTAAGACAGGACTGCCTGCCTATTATCACCGTTGATATTCTGAATTGTGGTGGTGGACTGAATTATGCATGAGACTGTGCGTTAGGAGTGAGAAGACAAGAATACGCTGGACGACCGATAAGAAGACTCTAGAAGATCTGGATTTCATGCGTGGATGGTTTATGTTTCATGTAACACAAACTCAACGACTTGCAATCGAAAACTAACAAACTGGTTGGAGACAACCTGCACCAATCACCATCAACGGGAGAGATCTAACAGAGATTACTTCCTCTATTCACTTATCTAGGAAGCATGATTTCAACCACAGGCAGCTGGAAAGGATGAAGATGTCAAAGCAGGCCAGAATCGGAAAGCCAAGATACGTCTTCACCAACCTGAAACCACTTTGCAAATCTTTTGCACTCAGCATAAGGAACAAGATTCGGATTTTCAACACCAATGTCAAGTCGGTCCTTCTATACAGGTCATAAACCTGATCAGCGATTCACGAAAAGTATTTCCAACAAGTTGTAGACTTTTATCAACAGCTGCCACCTTCGCTGGCTCCATACTGAAGAGCGAATATCCTGACGGTAGATAACTTATCAACGAGAAACTCTGGCTGAGAGCAAGCCAACAGGCGAGAGCCGATTGCTCAACAATCATGTAGGAGAAAGTGGAGATGGATGGATACTGAGGAGGCCGCCGAATGACATCTCGCTCAATGCAGGCCATTGCTCGAGTGGAATTCCAATGGGATGTGACGAATGGGTCGTCATTGCGAGGTTGACATGGAGGACATCGTTTGGTGAGGAGAAGATCAGAGGCTATGGGCAACCGCAGACCCAACTGAAGAGGATGGCAGAAAATAGAAAAAGTGGAGATGTGTTGTTGAAGCCCTTTGTTCCACTCGGAACCCAAGAGAACAATAATAAATAATAATAATAATATACAGTAGGATGCGTAGATTGCTTTCCTGAGCTCCCACCATACCACATCGGTTTTAGTCGTTGCACTATGAATTTACTTTGCCAAAATAAATTAATAATGCTTCACCATTTAAAATTTTTCCCCTTGAAAAAGGTGAATTATTCCCAAAGAAAGAAAAAAGAAAGGTGACGAAAGAAAATAAACTTACCAACATTCCTGGAGGTCCAACACATTGACATTTTTCTGGTGAACAAGTAATAGCGCATCGATCTAAGTCAGATTGCTGTAAGAAAATAAAAGGAGAAAGGATTTAAAAAGTGGCATAGATATTATATACGTGGGCATAACTACATATATGTGTAAGTATAAATTGCGGCCAGGCCCAAATAACCGGTCTACCTGAATTTTCATCTATCATAAGGCATAAATTTTCTCATTTTACGGCTATTATTATGATTTTTAATTATTTGTTTGTGTCATTTTGGTTGTAAAGTGTTGTTAGTTAGTTAGTTAGTTAGTTAGTCAGTTAGTTAGTTAGTTAGTTAGTTAGTTAGTTAGTCAGTTAGTTAGTTAGTTAGTTAGTTAGTTAGTTAGTCAGTTAGTTAGTTAGTTAGTTAGTTAGTTAGTTAGTTAGTTAGTTAGTTAGTTAGTTAGTTAGTTAGTTAGTTAGTTAGTTAGTTAGTTAGTTAGTTAGTTAGTTAGTTAGTTAGTTAGTTAGTTAGTTAGTTAGTTAGTTAGTTAGTTAGTTAGTTAATTTAGTTATTTTTCCCGCTGTTTTACAGCCAGCAACAATAGTGTACTTCATATAGTAAACTGAAGCAGCTAGCATAGAATTGATTATATAAACAAGAGAAAATGTTATAGGGAAGTTTGCACTTGAGACCAAAGCATTTATATATCATAAATACGGTGTTGTGTTCGTTTTATTTGCAATATTGCTTGTAAAACTGAGACAATGACTCAAGAGATATCAACGACTCCGTGCTTTCTCTACAGATGAGGCGTAGAATTAAGGGTAAATCTTTTTGAATACAATAAGTTTCAGAATCTGTACAAAAATAACTCAGTTATAATATCGTGACCATCTATTGTTGTATAGGTGAATCATACCCTGCACAGTTCGTGCTCATTTTTATAAGCTTTATATTGTCAGGTGAAAAATGAGTCTTTTTATTTCCGAACAAAGTTTTTGTTTTATTGATGTTGGCGAGTTGTTTGATTCAAAAATACTGGGGAGGTATAATAAGGATTTATCCTCCTCAAACCTTTGACCTACACACACTAACTACGCCTACAAACTTCTTTCCAGGATAATTCCTACTTGAGAAAATTATTTTAATATTTTGTTTCGGAATATTTTTCAACTTGTATTTAATGAAATCTACTGATAACATGGTCAACTTGCACCAAGCTTGGAAAATGTAAGTGGCACCATAGAACAGTACAGGGACCGTATGGCTTCATGATTATTACAGAAACTTTTAGCTAAAACTGAAAAAACAATTTCATTATTTCATCTTTTCTTCTGAACTAATTATTAACCAAAATATTTGAATTTGACACAAATTTCAAACATAGATGTCAAACTATCAAAATATTTCATTTCGAAACAGTTCGATTCTTCCCTATTTCTACTTTAATTCTTAATTTTGGACGTTGATTTCACTTCCTTTCCTCCTTCCTCTTATTCTTATTCTTCTCTTCTCAATTTACATCAAGTAATGACAACTTTCATTACAAATAAAAAAAGGGAGAAGTGCCCTTAAAATTGTGTACAATGAAAAGTGAACTAAAACAAAACAAAAATGTCAAGGTCACATGCTGTTGCTTGACACCAGCTTAAAATCGGCGCCAGAATTCAATTATTACTTCATTAAAACAAAACTGTCATGTATTAATATATATTTACGAATATTTCTAATGCTTAATTTATCTCGATGTTGTAATAACCACAATAGATTATAGAAACATGGATTTCATTTTAGAAAATTACAATTCACTGTCTACATTTATGACATTTATACATACATTCGTGTACTAGAAGTATATTGCTTAACATTACTAAAATGCTACATGTTTGTGTGTGTGTGTGCGTGTGGTGGCCCTAGATACACAATTTACAAGAAGAAGGAACTACCATAATGAAAAGAAGTAAAAATAAAATCAAAATGTCAGAATATTGTTAACTAACTCCAGTTACGATCAGAAGTGATGTTCAGTGAAGTATAGTACAGGGTAGCGCAGCGCAGCACAGCACAGCACTGCACAATTTATAAATGAATATTGTTAAAGTTACACATAAATCTGTGCACAATCAGAAATGATGATTAAAAGGTAAGAACATTCGTTAGGGAAGATCAATATTAATCTGAAAGTTAACCTTGACTATTTATATTATCAAGGGCGATTGAAAAATTGAAATCCAATAAGGAAATCATACTATTAGACATTATGAATACACCCCTTGGTCTGTGCACATTGCAAATTGTTAATTCTATTTATGGTAACACTACTTTACCCAAGAAATCAAGTGTCATTTGGACTGATTTGCCTATTTCTGCTGAGTCGAACCGTATACACCTCTGATGACCTCGGTCTCAAACGAGAGAAACATCCATCCGGTATTTAGATCAATTCGATCTGGCTAACAATCATTACTGGTTGATATGAATGTTGGTATACAACTACTCATTTCAATAGATCAGTAGTATATAGTTCTGCGCAAATGTGGTTGCTTTCTTGATTAGCATTTATGGTATCAAGCTGATCACATATTGTGGTGATCTGAATAAATTGGTTTCCAAAGAAAACTGGTGAAACTTCACCTCTACAATCTGTGTAGATTGGGATTTGTGAATACATGCACCTTTTGCTTCCCTTAGTTCTTATGTAATAAAAGCCTATCTATATTCGTGCAACAAGCGACTATTAACACAGGCTTAAAGTTTGAAAAGTGCGTCGGTGGCATAGCGGTAGAATGCTCGCCAACCACGCCTCACGTGGTCCGGGGTCTGGGTCCCCGGCCACCGACGCAAACCCTTACCTCGCTAGGCCAGTAACAAGACTGGTAAAGAGGGATAGTTGGGCAGGAAGCTAGCAACCCCATTCCGTAAAAAAATCAACACCACTGCTACAGAAACTTCAAGCCTCTAGCTTGAAGCCCTATGTTCACCTGGGAACATAATGGAATAAAAATAACAATAAAATTTGAAACAAAATTATTTGAGTGTTTATAAACAAAGTTTTGATAACATCCACTTTTAATAAAACTGTTTATTGGCTTTTAACTGAAACCCCAATACACAGAGATGTAAATATAATCCTACGGAAATTTACTACTATTTGTGTATACTATTCTTATATAAAGTGTCTAATTTACATAAAGATAAAGAGGCCTATTACAAAATGGTTCTAGGTAGTTTCAAATGAATTTTTGGGCCAATTTCTGTTGGAATAGTTATTATTAATGATGAGCCATATAACTGGTTATGATTCTGAAATTGAAAGACGAAGTATCTAGACCATGTGGTCACCTCTAATTGGATCCGTCAATTCAATTGTTCCTCTGGAGCCATTTATTTTGTTTGTTGTTATTGGGACCAACTAGTTTACTTAAATAAAGGAGTTGTTAATACTATTAACAGTTCCAATGTTAGATCACCTCATTCAAACAGACCACAAAGCTAGCTAGCTAGTTAGCATTGAAGAGTCCTTCCCTATCATCTACCAGGTATCAAATAAATTACCACAGACGTCTAGATGATGAACTCTTCAAACCGAAGAGGCCACTGCCATTCGCTGGAATCAACCAGAGCCCTCTGTGTGCAAAAGAAACAGATCTGGCCAGCCAATATTGGTACCCTGGCCTTCCCTTGAACTATAAATTCATAAATTCTGTGTGTTACTTCCCTTAATTTATCTGATATGTGGTGGTCTGTTTGGTGTTATATTAATGCGTGTTAAGTCTCACTTACTAATGCTTTCGGAATGTAATCTGTTGATACTATTGTAATCAGTGTAATTTGGAACAGCACTCATGATGTTAGTAACAATAATTCTGTAATTATTGTGGTCATAAAATTTAAAACCTGATGAAGATTTTATCGAATAGAATATTTTTTCTTCAGTCTTTTAGATTCAGTAGTTCATTAAAACTTTAATCCAACTATTATTATTCTTCAAGATTTTCTTGCGTTTTATTTACTTCTACCCTAGATTGTTTTTAAATCTATGAAGATCATTCATCCATTCATTCATTGATTCATTGAAACTTGGCCAGTGTGCCACAAAGAATATTTCCAACAGCCTGTTACAGACCTTTATCAACAACTAACTGTTTTCGCTCTATACTGTAGATCAGATGGCCGGAAAGAATCATCAACAGCAAGAAACTATGGGAACAAACGAAACAAGAACCAATCGCCCAACAAATATGCAGGAGAAAGTGGACATGGATTGGACATTCGCTGAGCTGAGGAGACCTCTGGGTGACATCGCGAGTGGAACCCGAAAGGGAAGCGGCGAGTGGGACGTCCAAGGGTTACATGGAGGAGATTGTGTGAAGAGGAGTTGAAACAGTATGGACTAACATGGATTTATGTGAAAAGTACAGCAGAAGACAGAAGCAAGTGGAGACGTGCAGTTGAAGCCCTATGTTCCACTAGGAACCCAGGGGAACAAGAATAATAATTACATTGATAAATATTTCTATATTCAACTCTCTGTATAAATTAATTATTTGTGAGTTGTGCCTATAATAAAACAATTATTTATTTTTATTTTACTTTACTTTTGATTATAGCTTGATTCCACACCATATTATTGGTACAAGTATGGAATTTTCAGCGATGTGATATCGGTAGCCCACATTTTGCAGGCCGACCAATTGATTTCAGGTGTGCGTCGGCTGAGGATCGATCCCCAGACCAAGCGCATGGTCAGCGATAGTCCTAACCGCTGTGCCACCGACGCACACATTTAGACAACACTAGAAATCTTTTTAAAAGAACATCTATATCAAATCAAACCATAAACCATCTTCTTCTGCATTATATATCCTGAATATTGTTGACCTAAGTCTGTCTTTGTCCTTTGATCATACGACATAGAAAGACATCTTTCGCGGTAGCTTATTGTAGTAGCAAAATTTATGGTGAAAGGCTGAAAATTATTACGTCATATTTATTTAATCATCTCTGAATATTCAAAGACGAGAATGAATATATTTCAGACTGGGTACAAAATTTATGAGGATATTTCATTTGACGTTTATTCATTCAATGAAACAGTATCAGGGAATTTTTGTTGTTGTTAAACTATAACCTCAGTTGGCGGCCTGTTTAAATCATTACGTTACCTAATTTTCCATAGAGTGTAATGCTTCAAAATTCACTCAGTCTGCCTCTTATTACAACCATTTAGTTACATCCGTGAAGAATAATCTGTACTTATTCATTCAGCATGCATTCGAAGGAATAAAACTGCCAGGGTTTAGAGGATGTTTCAGGTGGAAGAATATATTTTAAGAAATAATGTACTTGAGATTACTGTTTTACCTGAATATCACGTACTGTATATACACGTATTATATCAATAATAGCTTTATTCTAAACAGTGTTTATGTAATTATTTAATTTAATTTAAGATTTTCCCATCGATTGATTGAACCGAAGTGCTCGGTCTCAGGTTGACATGTCGGCTTCTTGTACAGATGCTTCGACGATGTATGGGCATGTAATTAGAGGTTGATTGGTGTATGGTGACTAGCAGTGGAATCCAGGATGCGCATTTCGTCTTATTTGGGACTCTTGGTCAGCTGGATGTACCTGCATTCCTCAGTGAGTGATGATGTTCCCACCTGCGGAATGCGGGTACATCCAGCTGACCACGAGTACCAAATATGACGAAATGCGCATCCTGGATTCCACTCCTAGTCACCATCCACCAGTTAATCTCTAGTTTTTATGTAATGTACATAATTTCCAGTGGAAATTATTGCGTAATAGTTTCTCTTTGTTCAGGATCTTCAAGTAATACACTAACTGACAGTAAATCGTGTGACACATTGCTGTCTAACCTCAAGTAAAAGCCACTTCTTCATGATGTTTTTTTCTTTGCCTCGTACCTTCCAGAAGTGTGCAACATCTGACTGAAATTTCTTTTTCTCAGGCTGTGGTAGTTTGTACATTCATGATTTAGCTTTTTATCAAGTTTAATAGAAACTTTTGAATCCGCAAGTGATAGATATTTGAAATACTTGCGAGAATGGAAAACACCGTTAGAGGTAATTTTTTGATGAATTAAAACAAAGTGAACAAGAGGAATTGTATGCAATATATATATGGCAAAGGTGTTTTGGTAGCCTAGGTTTCAACACAGGCTGCCTTTCCTTGTCCCCATTTTGATACTTAAGTAGTATGCACGAAAAAAGATTATTTATACATTTTATCTCATTAAACTAGATATTTTTATTTATTTATTTTTGTTTATAGCTTGATTCCACATTGTATTATTGGTACAAGTGTGGAATTTTCAGCAATGTGATTTCCAGGCCGACTAATCGATATCAGGTGTGTGTCAGCTGAAGATCGAACCCCAGACCATGTGCATAGTCGACGAGTGTCCTAACCGTTGTGCCACCGACGCATAATTAATAAAAATTAAGGGAAAGCATTCAAATGTTCAGTTTATGGGGATTTGATGATACCTATAGTCTCTTAACACACCATTGTATACCGCATATACACATATGCATTTTTCATATTCAATTATCTACGACCATGAACTTTTAGTCGAACGTAATCACTAAAATTCTGATGAAAAAGTACACTCTGTTTAAAGTCTTTAACAAAAGTAGACTAATATTTTTAAATTTGGATAGTGTTATTAGAA